CACACACACACACACACACACACACACACACACACACACACACACACACGCCTGTGTCCACCCTAAATGTGTAGATCACAGTAGGTGGTTCTATTACTACTAACCAGACCAGCCGGCAACATGCTACCTACCTATGCCCGTGGTCATTGGGTGTAGAACATTCCAGAAGCCCTTAAATAACGAACCAGCATAAAGGTCCAAGAGACCACCATGTAGTGCCGAGGTCCCGCCCCCAGTGTGGTGGCCACATAACCCCAAGCCCCCATCTGCTCACTCCCAGCGCGTCCAGCCCATTTTGTGCCGGCTTGCCCCCCTCGGCCCATATGGTGCCCCCGGATGCCTCCACGCTTCCCTGACGGCCTGTCCTGAGTTTTCTGCGACGCCCCCCCCCCCCCCCCAAGTCCAGGCCTGCCGCCTCGACTGGGATACATATTTCATGCAGAGCATTAAAAATTCAGCAGGTCTACTCCCCGTCTTTATGCCGAGCCGGCGAAAGAGAAACAGGTTCAATAATGGATGAGAGAGAGGAGAGGCGAGAGGCGAACGCCGGTGGCAGGGCTCGGCAGCCCGTTAGCCGCTCCCATCACGAGACGCCTGGCCAGGCACTCGGCCCCCCCGCCGGGCCCCCCCGACTGCTGGCGAGAGCTACAGGCAGCTTTGCGAAAGGACGAAGGAGGAGAGACGGCTGTACGACCCAGCACGCTCCCAGCGCACAGCTGGACGGCGGCTTTGACACACCCCAGGACACGCACACGCACAGAAACCCATACAACCCCCCCCAGGCATTCAGTCCGCGTGATTATTCACCTTCAGGGACAGAATACCATCATCTCTGGTGCTACTATAAACTCCTGCGAACACTTATATACATTTATGTATGATGGGAACGTACGAGCTGAAATCTGTCAAACAAGAAAGCAGAGCATAACAGAATAGCTTAGAGGCAACGGGACTCAGGGATTAGCTTGTGAGCCCAAACCAAAATGGCTGAACACTGCCACCTAGTGTCCAGATAGGAGCACTAACTATCACAACAGTACCTGCACCCCATAAACAGAATGTGGAATAATGCTATTACCCTGAAGATCAACAAATCATGAACAAGCATCGGAACAGAACAGGTGGGCAGATTCTCCAGATTTCAGAGGGATGCCAACACGACTGGGTGACGTCCAGCTCCGAGACATCGAGAGTTTCCACACAAGACCAGCAACCAAACACTCCCAATCAGGAACCATAAAAACAAACTGCCGTGATTCACGATATTGTTTTGGGCACAAATGAAGCAGGCTGTGCCCTCAGTTAATTGCCTGTTTAATTTGTTCACGAGTCTTGATACGACAAATTTCGAACCCCAGGGGATAAAGTGGGGGTAAGCCTCTCCCCCCTTAGTCACCTGGATATGGCGTGTGGCTCAGCAGGTGAAGGATCAGCACCCGGCTTCCCGGGAGAGGTCCCGCTTCACAGAAACACCTGTGCATCACACAAAGCTTCTTCCAGCTGGCCTGATTCCACCACTCTGAGGACCATCTGATGTTCACGCAGGCTGTGATTCAGGTGGGGATTTGGATTTCAAAGCAGGACATCCAACCAGAGTAACCTCAGAGGGTCCCCACAGCGCTCTCAGCTCCCAGATATGCGCCACGCCATTCATACAATCCGGCCACAAAGTCACGTCGCTATTGGCCTAAACAAAGGCTTATACTGAGCTGAGCGGAAGGACATTTCGCTTTCCGTCTATCACAAGCTGACACATCGCAGCTTCAGAGTGCACACTGAAATGTCTCTTCACAGACATCACATGCAGCTTCAGAGTGCACACTGAAATGTCTCTTCATAGACATCACATGCAGCTTTAAACCATTTCCAGCCACTTGTTTCGTGAACTTGTGCTGCCCTCCAGTGGACACAAACCACAGCACATCTCTTCCAGCACTTCAGAAATGATGCATTTTCCAAGTTACTGGATCAGTTAAGAGCTGGATATGGATCAGGTATAAAAATGAACCAGACCTGGGAGAAGATGCTGGCCGTAGGAGCGACGCGACTGTCCACCACGCTATAGAAGATGGCCAGCAGCCGGTCCAGGGGAAAGGGCTTGGGCCCCAGCAGGTGGTTACTGGTCTGACAGGGAGAGCAGCAGCATTACACCAGGCTCCACACAGGTGATCAATCTGAAAACAGGACTCTCACCTTCTCATGTTTCTTCAAAAATGTGGTCTTCCTAATTTTCCCATGATGCTGTGAAGGAGATGAGAGCATCGGTCCCCATATGCAATGACACAGACTTTGCAATCACCCCGGAAGCCCCCCTGGAGAGGATGAGCACCCCCCCACTCCCCCCGAGGCTCACCTTAACGAAGAAGCGGCGGTCGGTGCGAGCCGGGTTGTAGGAGGCCAGGTAGGCGGCTATGAGCAGGAATTTGGAGTAATATGGCAGCTCGACGTGGGCGTAGGCGGACAGGCCTAGGGGGCGGGGGGGGGGACACATCAGTGAGGTAAACACACACACAAGCGAGGTGAGGACACACACACACACACACACACAAGGGAGGTGAGGACACACACACACAAGCGAGGTGAGGACACACACACACACACACACAAGGGAGGTGAGGACACACACACACACGCGAGGTGAGCACACACACACACACACACACAAGCGAGGTGAGGACACACACACACACACACACACAAGGGAGGTGAGGACACACACACACACGCGAGGTGAGCACACACACACACACACACACACAAGCGAGGTGAGCACACACACACACACACACACAAGCGAGGTGAGCACACACACACACACACAGCAGAGAGGTGAGCACACACACACACATAAACACACACACAAGCGAGGTGAGCACACACACACACACACACACACAAGCGAGGTGAGCACACACGCACACACACACACACACACAAGCGAGGTGAGCACACACACACACACACAGCAGGGAGGTGAACACACACACACACAGCAGAGAGGTGAGCACACACACACACACACAAACACACAGACAAGCGAGGTGAGCACACACACACAGTAGCGAGGTGAACACACACACACACACAAGCGAGGTGAAAACACACACACACACACACAAGCGAGGTGAGCGCACACACACACACACAAGCGAGGTGAGCGCACACACACGCACAAGTGAGGTGAACACACAGACACACAAGCGAGGTGAGCACACACACACACACGCGAGGTGAGCGCGCACACACACACACACAAGCGAGGTGAACACACACACACAAGCGAGGTGAACACACACACACACACAAGCGAGGTGAGCACACACACACAAGCGAAGTGAACACACACACACACACAAGCGAGGTGAACACACACACACAAGCGAAGTGAGCACACACACACACACACAAGCGAGGTGAACACACACACACAAGCGAGGTGAACACACACACACACAAGCGAGGTGAACACACACACACACACAAGCGAGGTGAACACACACACACAAGCGAGGTGAGCACACACACAAACACACAAGCGAGGTGAACACACACACACACACACAAGCGAGGTGAGCACACACACACACAAGCGAGGTGAGCGCACACACACACACACACACACGCACACACACACACACAAGGGAGGTGAGCACACACACACACACACAAGCGACGTGAGCGCGCACACACACACACAAACACACACACACACACACACACACACACA